CCCCCCCCCCCCCCACCCAACACACACCTCCACCCCCTTTGGCGCCAGCTAAATCTGTGTTTCAAAGCAACAGATGCAGAACTCGTCTTCAGTCCATACATAATAAAATAAAATGATTAAATGTGCGCTGAGGGTGTGATGAGTTCAAGCGCAATCGGACACGAGACGTCTGAGGCGTAAAATGATAAAAAAGTGATTTTTTTTTCTTTGTATTTGTTATTTCTAATTATTTTGTTTTATGTTGTCCAATTCAAACGTTACTCGAGATGTCCAGGGCTTTAACAGTAAAACACTCCCGCTTATGTTAAGGTTTAAAAAAAAACGCAATATTTTTTCCTATAAATCCAAATACATTTTTTTTTTTATTAATTTTCTTTCGAGCAGATCATAAAATAATCACGAGGTGTCAGTGAAGATGAACAACTTTATGGAAAAAGCCAAGTATAAACAATTTATTGTTAAGTTATGTCACAAATATATTCAGAATATAAATGAGGATATTTTTCAAATATATATACATTATTGTACACATTTCCCTTCCGAAGGGAAGCAATCTGACAACAGGCAGTGCTGTTATTTAAAACTAAATTCAAAAAGGTTTTTTTTTTTTAAATTGCTGTGGTTCTCCAAAGTTTACAAAAAATAAAAATAAAAGCTGTCAGTTCATTAGTGAGCCGTTGTGTTTGGATGCACAGAAAGGTTTGATTTGCTCGTTTGGCTCAAAGGAGACAGAAAAGTCTGTTGGTGCAAAAAGTCAAAGTGAGCAACAAGGAGGCCTGTCTTCACCTGCTGCACGATGAGGGAGGCTGCTTCCACCGAACATCTCCATCTTCAAGTCACTTCACCCTCATCCGAAGTTACTGTTAGAGAACTGTTTTAAATTAAGACTTCAGATCTGATGATTTCTGGCTGTGAGGACTTGCTGCTGAGGAAAAGCTCCAGGACGCCTCACTCTTCACGTGTGACACGCACCTGGATGCAAAGCTCTGTTCATGTGCACCCCCCCCCTTTTTTTTTTTTTTTTTTTGACAAGTCCTGACCCCTGTTAAGTCAAGCCAGGTGGTACATACTGTATCCCACGTGCGCCGCGTACAGTCCCACGGGAGACACCGGCAGTGAGTGCCTCTGGAACGGGTGCGAGCCCGCGTAGGACGCGGGGACGTGCGCACCGAGAGGGAAGGAAATCCCGAAGGCCGGGGGCAGCATCGGCTTGGCTGCCATTTTCAGTTTTTCCAGCTCTGCCTCCTGCAGACGCTTGGCTTTGGCCCTCCGGTTCTGGAACCAGATCTTGACCTGGGTCTCCGTCAGGTTCAGGGAGCTGGAGAACTCCGCGCGCTCGGCGATGGAGAGGTACTGCTTCTGGCGGAACTTCCTCTCCAAGGCGAGCAGCTGGGACGTGGTGAAGGGGGTCCGGGGCTTTCTGTTCGTCTTGTGCTTGCGCAGAGGACAGGCAGGAGGACTCAGGCGTCCTGCAGGAAGATCACATGAAAGCGTTTCATTCAGAACCGAGTTCGCTTCCTAACGCGTAAACACGGAAAGCGAAACGAACTTTCTCCAAAAGCCAAAGTTAAACAAGTTTTATATTTATGAGCGTCAATCCTCAAAACAAAGCGCGACTACTTTAGTTAAACTATAATAACTTTATTTCTGACTTACTTGGAGGAGTGGGAGAAAAACGTGCACTCTGGATCCACGGCGTCCTCTCTTTGCCGTCCGGGCTCTCGGGTTTAACCAGCACATCCTCGGACAAGTTCATGATGTCTCCCACTGAGAACGCGGAGCTCACGGGCAGAGAAGTATCCAGAACCGCGAAGGAACCCATCCGCGCGCACTTCCCCAGCGCGTCATGGGACGTCCCGGCCGCGCCGTCCGGAGATGGAGCCTCTCTGCTGGGCTTCCTGTCCGCCATCAGAGCCTCGACGCTGAAGGGCAGGATGGAGACTTTGGGCTTCCCGGCGTCCTCCGCGGGGCTCAGGCTGCTCTGCATGTCCCTGCTGGCCAGAGCCGAGCGGGGCTGCGGGGGCAGCTCTTCAGATTTCACAGCGGCGCTCAAAGCTGACATGGCAGGCGATGATGGGGCCATGCAGGTCCGACTGGTACTGGTGGCAAAAATAAATGAAAAACAAACAAACAAACAAACAACAAAACAAACGCGACTTGTTGACTCAGGCGGAGACGCTGCGGCTCGACGCGCTCTGCTTCCTCATGTTTCTGTGGCCACATTGGAGCGCGCGCCTGTAATAAGGCAGACGTAGAGAGGGAGGTGGCCAATCAGGAGCCACGGGGGGCGGGCCCGGAGGGGGGGGGGGGGGAGAGCAATTGTTACTTTTTATAACTTCAAAATAAACAAAACAAACTCTTAATGGAGCGTGGTTTCATCACAGCTAAAAGCTTCTTTAACACCAGAACTGGATCGAGTGGATCTGGATTTACGGCGGAGCTCTAATCAGATTGAAGCACGCGGGTCTTTGCAGTCATTTAGGGGGGGGGCAATTATCAGGGTGGGGGGGGGGGGGTCCTCTTTTTTTTTTAACTCCTTATTTCTTTGACCAAATCCATTAAAAAGTCAAAACTGATGTGGAGTCGGAGCAACGTGGAGGAGGTTTAACTCAGAGGTGTCAGTGTCTTACCTGCGCAGAGTCCAAACTTCTGATGAGCTGCAAAATAAAATGTTGTTTAACAAAAAAGGCAGATTAAAAAGTGAACCCGCATGCGCGGTTAGATTTGAATGTTCTCGGGACTCTTAAATGCCAGACATAAACAATCTGTCACGATTTGTCAGCCTCCTTAATGGGCAGACAAGTTATGTTGTTTTTAGGCGCCAGCAGCGGCCAGGATCAAAGGGCTCCACTTTTAGGGAGACTATAGAAAAAAAAAAAGTTTTCACCCTCCTCCTCCTCCTCCTCCTCCTCCATCCGCCCTAGCCCTGGGACACTGAAGCATTCAGGCTGAAAAAAAAAATAGCCTTTTCTCAGCTGATCCCAGCCATTTCCATCTATTCAAATGAGCGCGGTGGCGCAGTGGAGTATGCGCGCACTCCCCGAGATGCGCGGCATTTATGATATCATTAGGCACGGAACTCCTCTGTGAAAGGAAAACACAAATCCCCCCCCCCCCCCCAGGTCCACAGCACCAATCCTCCCCCCGCAGCCTCATTAAAAGTTGGGGCTTGTTGCGCTGTGGTTAAAATATTAAATGGCTTGAAGAGCAAATCCAAGTCAAGG